AAAACATCTGTGAACGTTGTATATAATAACATTCTGTAATACATTTAGTATCAATTCCATCATACATCAATTTACAAATGTTTTCACTACAGTGTTAACATATTGAACTGATTTTCCCTCTCGTAAATGAATGAATTTCAAGGCCAATCCCTCTACCTGAAGCGCCAAAGAAATTCTGATGACTGAATCTTGATGATTCAATATAACTCCGTCTTTATTCAATTCCAACTCTAAACTCATAACTTTTGTTGAATTCTGTAATTTATCTCAATAATCCTAATCAATAGAAACTGTATTTCTTATTTCTCAATGGGTCTGCCCCAAATGCATGATCATAGTATCAACCTTGACTTGGGAAAGGTTGAAAAAAGCATGATAATGTAATGGATTTGAAAGTTGCTTTAATTACTCGTATACTTATAAGCGAGTTTCATAATAGCTCTAGTTTCAAGTATATACAGGATGTGTGTTCATATAAAAAGAAAGAATTGCTTATACACATTATGAAGAGAACGAAATTAGAGCTAGAAGAACTATATAACTTTCGTCCTCGCAGTTAACCCACATATCACTGACGATGGTCTAACCTTTTAACGTGTGATACCTAACACGGTTGCAGAATCATCCCAGCTTCAACCAGATAAATTCTCTCGAGAAAAATAATATAGATTTAAAATAATCAACAAACGTCAATCAGTTATGGGAAGCAGACGAATAGTGGAATTGCGTAACAAATACTTATAACAAATAACTAAATATAGACAAGAACAACGGCAAATTTTCTATCTGGACGAAACTTGATATTACACTCACGATACAGTTACGAAAAGGTGGACTGATGGTTCGAGAATGTGTACGCCTAACATGCCTGCAAACAAAGGATCGCGACTAATCATTGTGCATTGCGGAGGAAGTAAAGGATGGGTTCCTAATTTTTTGAAATTATTGAAAAAGTGTATGCCTTTGAGAGTATTGCTGAAATGTATGTACAATCCTTACTGAGACTTCCCCCTATGTTTGTGATTTCAATCCCATCGAGTTGATTTGGGGAAAATTGAAACAAAGCATCAGGCGTGAAAATGATTTCCCAAAATTTGATAAGAAAGTGATAGAGCTAGTTAAAGAGCTAGTATCTAATATTACCAAAGAAGACTGGCAGAAAAAGATTAAAAAAGTAATTTTAGTTAAAAAAGACTATATGGAGATTGGACACTTCCATATTAATGGTGGAAATAAATTTGATAATGCCATCTGAGATGATGGCGAAACGTCGACTATCGAATAGTACCCAACGGATGAACACCTGGAAGAACAACACATCATATTCTACCATCCGTGAAAACCTACATTGATATATATATATCTTCTTCTCGATATGACCTTATCTCCCCGGAAAGGTTTGCAATGTTAAACGAAGGTTTTCACGTACAGGAATATGTTGAAATTATTCTTCGGGTTTGTTCCGCTGTTTCAGCCCTATAAAATATAGCGCTACGGAGAAACAGTGATGAAAGGATGATTTTGTTTTATGAACGTGCCTTTTCCCCCGCGTCTGGCGCCTCAATTGAAATATTTGAAAAAAATTTCTTATTGCACATCTACAACTCAAAACGAACCTATATACAAAATATCGGTCTCCGAAAATATAGCAGTACGGACAAACAGTGATGAAAAGGTAATTTTAATATGTAAACGCGCCTCTTTTATACCCAAGGGGAGAGTCCCAAGTGGAATATTAAAAAATCCTATCTTATTGCACATCTACAACATAAAACTAACCTACATATTAAATTTCAGCCTCCGAAAATGTAGCAGTACGGAGAAACAGTGATGAAAACGTAATTTTCAAACGTAAACGCGCCACTTTTACCCCCACGGAAAGCAACGACTACTACTCGATCACAAACATCTAGATGCATCATTTCGATAACAATATCGACGATCGAAAACAATTTCGAAAAAGTGAATTCAAATTTTTATAATTATTCAGTGTTAATGAATATTTTATTTCGTCCTCGTTTCATATAGTGTTTGATACGTTATCTGCACCTACTTAAAACAAATAAAGTAAAGCAACGACTACTACTCCGATTGGATCACAAACACCTAGACTCGTCATTTTGATAACAATATTGATGATCGAAAAAAATTTCGAGAAAGTGAATTCAAATGACATCAAATCCAAAAATCTTATCTAGAAAGGCATAATTCAATTATAATGGTTTGAAATAAGCAATACAACAAATAGTTTGAAATAGGGAATACAGGTTCATATCAGTTACTTCTTAAATGGTGAAAGTACCATTGCAGTCCATTCCACCAATTCTCGAATAATTTCATCAACGTTTGTTATCCTCTCGAGTATCATCCATATTGGATCCATTATATTCTCGAAACACTAGTTCAGTTGATTGTTAGGGCCAGTCTTCACTTCTTCAAGAAACTATTTTATGATTTCCTATGGGTCCTAAACTGACAATCATGAAATAAATAAATACCAATAAAACCGAAACATTAAACTTCAACAAAAAAAAATGAAAACCCAAACTTAAAATACAGTCATTAAATCTCCACATTTAGTATCTTCCTCTTCATGAAAGAGAACGTACACTTTTCCACTCACTTCAAGATATTCAAGGATTGTTACCGTTATAGAGAACCAGTCGTTTCACAATGGTTTACTTCTTGAAATTATTTGAATAATATATACTCTTGTCTGTTGTTCGGAAGAAATTTCCTTCTTCTTCTGATATTGATATAATCACATATATAGCCTCGCTTCCTTTGAGCTTTGTGTATTTCCTATTCAATCGCTTCTTCATCCAGTCTTTGGTTCTCTGGCGATGTCTCGCAAATTGATGAACTTTCTTCAACCGCTCTAATTTCTTAGAGGAACTCGTTGTAGAGCCTTTCTTCGAAATATAAAGACTACCTCGTCAGCATATTTGACGAGGAAAATATATTGCTTCTGTTCCTATATGCCAAAAGAAATGCGTGCATCAGCTCAGTCTNGCTTTTTAGCTTTCTACTTTTCCATTTTTATGCAAAAAGTTGTGTATGTGAATGGAAAATTAGAAAGCCTGAAGGCAACATTGAATTGACCAAAAGGATGAATTATAAAGATGAAAAGCACTCAAAATTGTCCACAGTCAGTTTAGTTCAACAAAAAACATCGATATCAAAAGAAGTAAATAGGTTACGTAAAGTGTAGCTAGTGTCTTTATATTGTTTTTTTTTTGTTATTGTATGAAGTCGTTAATTTACAGCTGTGCTACTTATTAAAGGACCTATAGGCGTAATGATATTTTATGTTCATATTTTATCTGAAAATAATAATTTTAACTAACTAGTTAGGTGATCCAATAATTTGTCTGAAAAAAAGTTGATATACGACATGACCAATTGAAATGTGGTATTAGGTTAGGTTAGGTCCAAAGTGAGTGGGTCTATTCGACCCTCCTCCGCAACCCGCAAGGATTTATTGTAGCTCACACCTATTCACACTCGACCAAACAAACCCAGCTTCTTAAGGAAGCTGGTTAGTTTGTATGGTGAGTGATCTTTCGGGTCAGATGGTAAGAGTACGGCTCTGCCGAACTCTAAAAACGTGATTCGGTCCCCAGCGGGGCAGGCACAAAGAATATACTCTGCTATTCCACCGTTAACCACGTTAGCTATACCTGACAATACCTTAGATTCACCCGTTCAGGGCTTTTTCGCCTCTGGTTTTCGTGAATCATCACTTAACGCAAACGTTTGCTAACTTGCTCATGGGGGGTTTGTTCCCCCACCTGAGACAGATTCTGCGTACGCCGCTCAAGAATTTGGTGCAAGGCGGTTTGAGATACCCCGCTTCCCGCTCTTGAGGAGTAGACTCAGTCGTTTCCTGGCTGCACCACCAAACCTTTTTTTAGGTTCAGTTATTGGATCAGGAGTTGGAGAGTTGAGAAGCTCTCGCTTCTGATCTAAACTTACAGGGAGGTGAGTTGGAGTCGTGAGCTCGACATCCATCTTCTCGGTAGACTCATCGTCAGATAGAATTTTTAAGTTTACTCAATCCATAAAAGTCCCACGAGTAGCTAGGAAAAGAAGGTCAATCACGACAGAGCCCCGTATTACCGTGACAAGGCGATGCTACGAGGAAAGGGCGTCCGGTATCTCGAAGGTTCCGTAGTGACAGCTGGCCCGGATTCACACACCTTAGGATTGAGCCATCGTTGGGATGCCATTCAGTTAGGGAATAACAGAACCACAAGTGATTCTATTGTTCCCGTATCCAGCTGGCCTACGTGGAAGCAGGCATCCGATGGCCGGTTTGCTCAACCCCCACATCCCAAGCAATGCACTCTATACTGTCTATACTATGCAAAATAGTCCACTCACGTGTTTTCGAAATGAAGATCTCATCGCCAATTTTGAGAATCAAAATTCCCACTGGGACACTGTGTGGAACATATAAAAATTAATTTTGATAATGCGTGTTCTGGAATATTTAAAAAATTATTGCAAACAATAAGTAACAAATATTTAAATTTTACTAAAACAAAAATATTTCCTACATGATAGTAGGGGAGCCCAAGAGGGTTTTAGGGATTTACTCGAGCGCGACAGATAAACATAGGAGGATAAACCATGCATCCTGTTAAAGCCGTCTACCATATATGAACCCTCAATTAGGAGCAGGGCAAGTATGGCAGCCCGTCAGATTAAAAAAAATTGCCTATCAGAAATATTCGAAGCTGTGACCCCTCTACTCCCTTACGTCACGCTCAAATCGTCAAATTTTGATAAATGTACTCTTTTCACCTCGAATTCAAGCCACCATACCTCAATCTGACGCATTCGAATATTTCCCATTTGCGAATTTTTTTAAATGGTGGGTTCATAAATGGTGGACGGCTTCAGTAGGATGCACGGTATCACAAAATCCCGACTTTGGCTCCCCTACTATAAGGATTTTCCAAAACTTTAGATTCATTACGATTTCCCAAATTTTACAGCTCAGACTTCGATAAGCCCGCAGTCTACCAACTGACCGAACCTATGGACCATGCAGAGGGTCCCACATGGGACGCCAGGAAAAATATTCTGTATTTCGTAAATATTCATGCTGGAGAAGTACTAGCCTACCACTATGATACCAAGATACTGAGGAAAATGCATTTGAATGGGGAAGTAACACCAGTGATACCTTCAAGGAAAAATCCGAATTTGCTCCTGGTTGGTCTCAACAGATCCGTTGTGGCAGTGGAGTGGGATGGCAAGAAAAAGCTTGGCGACCAAGTGATTTTGTCGACAATTAGCCAACAGTTTCCGAAGAGTAGATTCAATGATGGAAAAGCCGACAAACAGGGGAGAGTTTGGTGGGGTAAGAATAATTGATAACGTTTGATCAGTAATCATTTCAATTCAGTATACTCTGTCTACATCTGAACTTCCTACCGTTATAAACCGATATTTGAACCTTATCCACTCATTATAATCAACAGCATTTTGTAGATTTAGATTAACTTTTTTTAATTATATTAATTGAACACACAAAGTGATATATATTCGAGTAATGACATCATTGCCGAGTTTTTGATGCAACATCTAATTTTTTATTATTACAAAAATGTATTACAAATTTTACTAATTGGTACGGAGAGAACAACAATACCAAAATTCACAAAATGAAGAATAAACGTAATACTTACAAAAATGAAATCAAATTACGTGTCATTATTTTAACTAGTGTGATAAACCCGCCATTATATTTATAAGCATGCACCATGCACTTCTGTAAGCGAACTTTGTTCCTCGACTATTTTTTGAAGATATTTTCATCATTTATTTTCATTCGACACCAAATATCCAAATTCATTAGAGCGGCACTATGAGATCATCTATGAAATTGTTGTCAAAGAATCTCTTGACATGAAAAAAGAAAGAAGAAATTGTTCATTTTTTGACTAAAACTTCAATTGTTCACCAATTCACATACATTTCAGGTTTTCTTTCGAAATACCATTCCGATTCTGAAGAGAGAAATACTAAATAAAAATCCCAAAAACTAGTATCTCCTGAGAAAATAATACCCCCTTTCATTTCAAATATAAGACATCCATTTTTGGAAATAAATAAAATAATAATATGAATTTCTTCACGTACTATCATTGAGACAGTCGTAATGTTATGAATGAATTTAGAGTTTTACTTTTAAAGTTATCCAGAACGGTGCTGATGAGGTAATAAGTGTATTATTCCGAAACTTCGAAATCCGCCTTTTAGGATGACCATGTAAGTGAAATTTTATATCGTTACTCTTTTATTTTCATTGTTTAGCGTTCCTATGAATGATATCTGATTCAACTACATTAGATTAGATTAGATTGTCGGGGAGCTAGCCCATGGCCTGATTCATTGCGACCTTTTCAGAGCTATTGTGATGCTTCTTGGTTGTTAGAGCTTATTATCTATCTTGATCCCTTTGATGAGTCTCCATAGCCTTGACAATGACCCTGTCATATAGATGGCAGCCTCTGGTTTTTCTTCCCCGCATCTTGCGTGTCTCAGCCTTGCTATCGCTTCGCATTCACAGAGCACATGCACTGCGGTTTCTTCCTCTTCTTGACAGAACCTGCATTGGATTTCTTCTGTCAGACCCATGTTGCTCATATATTTCCTGAGCCGGATATGCCCCGTTAGTAGACCCACCACTATCCTTACGACCTTACGTTTGTGGTTTAGCAGGTCTTCCGTGAATCTGGGCGACGGTTTCTTTATGAACTCTTTCACCTGCCTCATTCCTGGGGGCTTATTCCACCAATCTATCGATTCGGTTTACATTTATCATTATGGATGACTTTATACATGCTCTCACTACCCCGTAGAAGGGTTCTAGGCCAATAATAGCTTCGGATGCGCCTTCACGGGCTAGAACATCGCCCTCCTCATTGCTCTTGTGACCCTCATGTCTGGGTACCCAAGCTAGAATGACCCTATTTTGTGTACTTGCGCTCAGACTGCTTCCCACCAGTCTTGAGAAGACTTGAAATAAGCTGAGCGCTTTAATTGCCGCCTGGCTGTCGGAGAAAATTGCAATGGTTTTATTTGTGACCTTCTGCCTGTTTATTTCCCCTATACATGTGTTTGATTGCCGCTACTTCTGCCTGGAACACATTTGCATTATGTCCGAGGCTGAGTGCGATTCTCGTCTTTGCTCTGCCTCCGTATATACCGGCTCCCACTCCTTCTTGGGTCTTTGAGCCATTTGTATACCAAGTTTCTTTCGCTCTTACCGGTGGGCCGTTTTGCCAGTCCTCTCTACTTGGTATGATGATTTTGAAATCTTTTTGAAAGATCAAGAAGCAGAATGATAAAAACTATCCCTATCCTTCTCTTTTAAAAATATACTTCCATTCAATTCAACCATTTATTACTTCAACTTCTTCGAGAATAGAAGGTGGTAGTTTCTCATAAAAATGCTATGATGACATGCAGTTTCATTTTATTTTAAATTAAAAAATAAAATACGCTTTTATTTTCTTTTGATCATTTTGAATTCATAAAGTAAAGTATTGAGAAAAATTTGGTAAAATCAATTCATTTAACATTTGGTATTTTTTTAAATTTCAACAATAATTTATTTCTCCGGGAAAATTACAATACGTATCAAGGACGAAACCATCAATTCATTATCATTATTAGTAAAGTAAAGTATTTTTGTAATCTGACCTGATTGTCTTCATTATTACAACCACCAAGCTCATTAGAATGTTGTATTGCTCTATGAAATTTGGTCTATGCAACGGATTTCCTTCAAAGTATGGCAAATCCTGCTAACGATTTTACACCTTGTCAGATTTTCAGTAGTTCAAGTAGTATTATTTTGACCGTTCATCAAATACTCGGAATATTTAGGGGTTATATTATTTCCTACCTTAATTTCGGGACCTACTAACTCTTGTCCATTTTTGCACGTTAGGCCCATTTGACTCACGGATCATCCATCCAAACTCCTATCGCTATCACCCGCAAATATGCTCGCTTCTATGATATTTTTCAGTTTCAGCGTTAATTCCAGGTCCAATAATTATTGATTCGATGCTTGAATAGTTCTGCTATTTGCTGGATTCGAGAGTTCTATCCTGATAGTTTCCATTTAGTTGACGCTTTCTGGCGGGTCAATTCTAGAGGTTACCATTTCGGAACGGACAGACATTCTGGCAGTATCTACTTGATTGGGGTGTTCTGTCGCCATCTTCCTTTATTTTTTAGTTTTTCTCACTGAGTCGCTCGCTGCGTCTGACAAAATCGGATTTGGTCTTTTTTTTGGTTTTGATGAAATATACTGTTCAAGTGGATGGATGAGAATTCGTCGATTCGAATATTTGAGAAGAATGATGAAAGACAATCCTCAAGTCATTTATTTTTGACACTTCTCATAAAACAAAACTATAAACAACAACAATCAGGTACTCAATTCTGACACTCCCCCTAGAACTAAATTTCCTGTAGACCTATATTTTTGCTACAAAACAAATGTTTCCTAGAATTAACAGTTTTGGTCAACATATCTGCTAACATCGAATTAGTGTCGACATAGTTCAGGTAATTTCTGTCTTTTTGAATCTGCTCGCGTACGAAATGATGCCTCACATCAATATGCTTTGTACGAACGTGATAACCAGGAGGCGTCATTGCTAACTGCAGTGAACTTTTGTTGTCCCCATTGATGATGATATATTGGCCAGTGTCTATGAGCAAATCATTCAATAGATCTATCAATCACATTCCTTCCTGTACAGCAGCAGCAAGCGACATATATTCCGCCTCAGTTGTAGAAAGTGCGACGGTCGGGTAGGTTTCTTTCTCGAGTAGCAAGAAATTGCAACACCCTGTATCAGAAAATCATATCCCATTGTAGATTGTCTATGTATAACTGATCTAATGTTATAACTGTTGATGCTACGTTCGCCACTGCTGTCTTCTTCCGGCTATTCTGCATGACATTGGCATCAGAGATGGAGCCTACAATTTATTTAAAAGTTATTGGCAGTAAAAGAAAACAAAAAGTAAAAATCGGAAATATAACAATCACCGAAGAAACAATAACGTGTGGAGTACCTCAAGGGACGGTACTAGGGCCTGTGTTATTTGCAATATATATGGATAACCTCTTTCTACAGGAAAAAGATTGACAAATACTTAGTTTTGCGGATGTTACTGTGATAGTTTATACGGCTGAAAATTGGTATGATCTTATGATCTAAAAGTCAAAGCAGAAGATGACTTGAACATTTTTAAAAATGGTTCGACAGTAAACTCCTCTTGTTGAAAATTGAAAAAACACGTTACCCACCGTTCAGTAGTCTTGAAACTTGTCTTCCCCACTATAACTTAATCATTCAACAAGATTTGAAAATTGAACCTGTGAAGAAACAAAATTGGGTATATTTCTAGATTCACACTTGAGATGGAATGAGCATATTTCATATCTTGTGAAAAAATTGCGTTTTCTATTATTCAGATTTAAACAATTCATATCTTATCTAGACCTCGAACAAAAAAAATATTGTGTACAAAAGTTTAGTGGAAAAGGACGGTGTATCACGAACTTACCTGAATTTGATAGAAGTCTCTCAAAGAAGATTCCTCAAAATTAAAACTCCACGACAAATATCGTTTTGGTCTGGTGGTCGAGAAGCACTACATCAGGCTTATTAGCTTGTATGAGCCTGAGGGTGGGGAACGAATAGTTCCAATAAATTTGGCACTTCTCGTTCCCCACAACGGATTCAATATCCTCCGGAGCGTAGGGCAACACCGGTGTCTCGTCAATACCGTAAGAGTGCCGTTATTGTTATTTTGTCACCGTAATGTGCTCTGGTCAGGCCCTATCCCCCGAAGCCCCGATACATTCGGGAGGGCGCGCCAGCATTATCAACTATGACCACTCCCCACACCGAGGGGTAAGTGATCATTGGGTCCGAGAATCATGTGCCCCGAGCAAGCGCAATGAGCCAAGAATTAGTGTTATTATTATTATTATTTATTATTGTTGTAACGAACTAAAGAATTAACTGTCTTAAACAAATTTATTTATAACATTATTTCACTATCACAACTAATTTATATTCAACACTTAGCAACTAACACTTAATTTATCTTCACTATTAGATTTCTTTGTTTAATCGCTCGATTCGCTTTCTGAATTAATACTCCCTCTCTGGACGAGAAGCCGGCCTTTTATATCGGTAACGATTGCTCTAGATTTTTCTAGTGGTTTCGGTTCTCATCTATACTTTTCGCGGCGGTTCGCGGTGAGTCATGTGTTTATTCGCTGGCTGAGATATCGGTCAGGGCCGACTTCAGATTCGTTACATTATTATTATATATATTCGTTTCATAGATGATGTCATATAAAAATACAAACGGGAAGAGTTATACAATTGTTTTATTGTTGAAAGTATCGGCTTCGAAAAACTGTACCTTTTTTAACAATTGAATGGACTATTGTGTTACGACTCGGATATGTAATTATCTTCCCCTATTTACAAATAACCACATATTTTATCGAAGGTTATATGACGTTAAACACTTCGTTATTTCAGGAACAATTGGTCCAGAGGCTGATGGAGTCGTTACCCCGAACCAAGGAGTCTTTTATAAGTTTACCAGAGATAATCTCGACAATCCGACAGTCATTAGGAGCCCTGTTACAAACAGTAATGGACTAGCGTGGAATAAAGCAAATGACAAATTATATTACATTGATACTCCAACATCAAAAGTTGTAGAGTTCGATTACGATGATAAGACAGGAACTGTTTCAGACAAAAACCGTACAGCATTTGATTTAACCAATTATCCCAACATAGCAGGTTAGTATGAATATTATTTTTCGTTTATTATTGGCAGATGTCAAAACTTATACCTTGATCAGAGTAATACAATATATAATTTGTCTAAATGTATTCACGGAAATTTTTACAGTGGTCCTGTACGTTTTTAGGTAACATTCTCACTTACTCTAAGTTACAGTTTTGTCTATGGGTAGCTTCATCTTATAACTGAAATTATCCAAATTGTACTCAATTGAAAACTTCGTATCGCTTTTGAGTTGAGCAAATTTTAATGTATTATTATGCTCCGTAACAAAATGTTTTATATCAGCCCAATTTCACTCAATGAGATTAGATTCGCAGTGATATTGTGGTAGTCTTGAAACTGTTTTATCTTGAGCTTCAGACATTTCATCAATAATGCTAATTTACCAAAATATAATATTTTTTGTGCTCATTAATTATTGCTGAAAGTTCCACTTTAAGTAAATTTTGGAACGAATTTCGCTGCCACACGCTTCTTGCCTAAAATATCCGAAAAAATTGTATGGCATGAGCCAACCGATATGCCGACATCCTTGGCAACTTCTCTAATAGTGATTCGACATTTCTCCATAACAATTTTCTTCACTTTCTCAACATTTTCATTGTGTAAGGGTGTCCAGGGCGAGCTTCGTCATTCGCGTCTTCTCGACCTGCTGTGAAAAACTTGTATAGTTCAAGTAAACGATATAGTGCAACCTACCTTCCAACAGTATAATATTTATAGTTTTTCATTATTTATCGGGTTTAGAAAAAATAGCGTATGCAACTCTCATGTAATGGTTATATTAATACACTCGCATATACCATACAAAACTCGCCTTCGGCTCGTTTCGTATCCCGGTTAATGCTCGTGTTTTAATAACCATCATTACATGATCGTTGCATAATATACTATTACAATAATTTTCTATAATAAGACGATTTGTAGACATTTTTCACATGATATATGTAACAAAGGGTAATAGTGTGATTTGGGAATCATAATGGTGGGATTATGAAGGAGAAAAGTTCATTGCAAACAAAATGGAATTATTTGAAAATTCAGCATGGTACCTTCCCTGTTTTCTAGCTTCGTGAGAAAAAACTGAAACAGAACGAAATATCAAGTCATATATTGGAAATTATTCAAATATGTACAGAGTGGGCCAAATTGGACACTTTCAAAGGGAAACTACTGTTTTCAAACTAGATAGATGAAAATTGACGGTTGTGTCTATATCAAATTTTATGACAAACCAGAGTCATTTTTTAAATACACAGCTTTCAGGTTTTTTCATGTAGACTTTGAAACGCACAATTTGATCAAGTAGGCTTTTGGACGACGCGATGATAAAACAGAAAGAAATTGTTCAGTAGTAGCTATCAAATGTTGAGAAAACTTTTCGCAACAGTATCAAAAAGCATAGTTTCAATGAAACTGATAACAATTTACTACTGATGAATGAAACTTCAACAATTATAATAATAATGATAAAGAACAAACAATGAAATAGATTTCTTCACAAAAGGTGTTTGAAATGTCTACCAGCTTTACCTACACATAGGCGACACCTTTTCTGAACGTTTTTTGCAAAATTAATTGGTTCAATTACCCCAGAGGTAAAAGTCCAAGGCGTTAGGTCTAAGGTCCGGTGACCTGGCCGGCCAACGGTTGGTTCGTTGGTTGGCTATCCAATTATTACCAAAATTTGCAGCTAAAAGATTGGTGACAATTGCAGTGTTGTGAGGCAAAGCCCCGTCTTGTTGAAAATCTATTTTTCTGAGCTCCATTAGTGTCAACTCATCATAAGTTCACTATTTTGCCTCAAAATTTATAAATACCTCTGCTCACATATGCTTCGTCTGTTCAAATACAATTTAACGAAAAATCACGCACTTGGTTAAAACTTTCCAGGAACCACTGGCAAAAATTCATGCGGCGTTCAAAATCTCCTGCCCTCAGTGGATGAACTCTTCTGGTCCTGTATGGCTTGAATTTGTGTCTTTTTTTTTCGAAATCCTCCTAACGTTAGTTCTTGGTAGGCTTGTCGATATTTTCAAATTTGGCACTGACGTTTAGGGATTGATTTCAACAGCTCCTGAAACGACTATTTTTTCTAACTCCTTATCACTATTAGAAACAGACTACCATATCCCATTTTTCATAATTCTCATACTTCATTGTGAATGTGTTTAAGAATTGAACAAAAATCGCTAATAGAAGAAGATCGTCTCTACCGCTTAAATCAAAATTTGACAGCTGCCAGTAAAGATTTGCAAGATTGCTTGACCAAAGTGTGCGTTTCAAAGTCTACATGAAAAAACTTGAAAGCTTTATATTTCAAAGATGACTCTAGCAAAACATCAAGGGTGCTACTTTTGTGGAAATATAATTTTAAACTCTATTCAAATATGCAGAAAGCTTTATATTTCAAAGATGACTCTAGCAAAACATCAAGTGTGCTACTTTTGTGGAAATATAATTTTAAACTCTATTCAAATATGCAGAAAGCTTTATATTTCAAAGATGACTCTAGCAAAACATCAAGTGTGCTACTTTAAGCTCTATTGAAATATGCAGGAATATACAGGGTGCCTCATTAAAAAAATAGTTTTTCATCAATAATTATTGATATCTCATTTGAAAAATAAGTTTTTTACACCACTGAATTCTACGTAAAAAAGTGCTCTGGGAATTTTTTCATAGAAACAAGAAATTTTTGGCAGGAAAAAAATTACATCAACTTTTCAAAAATGCAGATTCTTCAGAAACGTTGATAGATATCGATATGCGATTTTCACCATCAAGTTTGACAGAAAATTTGACTCTTAGTCACAACAAACAGTGTCCAATTTGGCCCACTTTGTACATCATTGACTGATATATTCATACCCTAATATAATAATTTAGTGTATTCTGTATGTCTCATTTTGAATGCCAATTTTAAATAAAGCAATCAGATGAAAGAGATTACGATCACTCAAGACGGAGATGATTCAAGTTAATGAGTATCTTCGTGACAATTGACATATCTTCTTCAATATGTTGTATATCATCTACTATCAGATGGAAACAGTAAAAAATAAGTTCTTAATTTGTTTGTAGAAATCAAAGAGATGTAGAATAAATATAATAATGATTTCTAAAACAGAAACCTGAGAAAAACCGCATCACATTTCAAGAACATTTGTCTAACTTTTACATACACAAAGTATTAACATCGAATGGATGCATATTTTCTTTTTTTTTCCAGGTGATTGCTCTTCCTGCCCGAGATGTTACATCAGCAATGTGGGGTGGACCTAATTTCGACATTTTGTTCGTGACTACTTCATCACATTCATTAACGACTCTAGAAAAACGTCAGTTTCCAGCCGCAGGGAGTCTCTTTGCCATAGAAAACTTGAAAGCCAAAGGTTTACCTGTATTTACTGCCAACATCATCGATGAAATTCCCAAGAAACTGGTAAATTTATTTAATTTTGAAGTTGTTCTCTTTATTTCCTTAGACTACTGTTATGAAGGGATGTGATTCATTTCAGTCAATCTGAAATATACTGTCATGCCCATGGCGAATCTAATAGAACAATGGAGCGAACGAATTTTTACTGGTACTGTTAGGACTAGTCAGTCCTACTGTGAATTCCTCTGATTTAAAGACGAAATTAACCAGGAATCAAACGTTTCAAGTTAATATTTTATTTTATAACAATTATAAAAAATTATTTAAACATACTTAGTGACTAAAAGCAGCAACATTCTCCCCCTCGAGATAAAATCACTGCATTTGGCGTATTCATCAATCCATTTTCGTTAAGAATATGTACCACTGATCAATTTACAAATTGATCAGTTATTGGCCGTTTATAGGTTCCTGATTTTGTTTTGACGTCCACACACAACTTTAATCTTATCATCTTTTCCCCTATAAACATTTTCAATTTCCCCAAGTGGCCACATATTTCATTTCTTATGTGTCGTCAATGACGAGTACCATATCGTCCTCTGATAATTCATCCCCTTCTGATACCACTTCATTTGTTTTTTCAGTGTAAGTAAATATTCCTTCCGCCCTCTTTTCCAAAATATATCCGCTAAGGCTTGAGATACTATCCACTGTTTTCTCGATTTCCTCAAACTTTCCCAGTGGTGGTGCAGCTCCATTTGAACAGTGCATTAAAAAATGATTCGGCATAAGGATTTCGGGTTAAAAGGAACATTTGAAATGTATAATAAATGTTTGCTATTTATAAAATTTTCCGTTTCCACAATCATAGTACCTAATGTGCACTTCTTCTTTGGGGTATCCCTCTTTCAGCGTAATGCTCAGAACATTTTTTACCGACCTCACCAATCTCTCCCAGCTTCCTCTCATATGTGGAGATGTTGGTGGAATAAATTCTCAGGTAATGTTCTTAAGGAAAAAACCCAAAATTTCTCTCGAACATCCACGTCGACTTATAAATCTTTTGATCTCCATGATAGCGGATTCTGTATTCAACGAATTTCCCATTTTTAGATGAATTGATCGTACGTTCATATAGGTAAATAGTACTATATGTTTTCTGCCAACTGTTACGGAAACTGCCCCAAAGTGGTCCATTCCGGTGATAGGTAATGGTCTGACTGAACTTTGAAGACGACACTCCGTTAACTGACCCGGTAACTTTTGCATTTTCTGACAGCACTTCTCATTTTCAAGATCCAAATTTTATGTAATAGAAGTTTCGTGAAACCGTGTTTTGGATCAAGAATCACTGGATGTTTTTAAAAATAGTTTCTCTCAATACTCGACAAATACATGTTTTTTAATGTAACTGTCAATATTTTCTATTTCTTCGTTTCCATATTAATTTCTTCTTATGTCTGATTTAGCCAGAAATATTCAGGAATGAGAATAGGCGAGGAAGATGAGTTATCCACGGAAATGAACACAAGATGGAAACAACTTCTAAACGAACTGACGAAAATTTATAAAATAAGTTTACCTACATGCTATGATATTGTTCTGTATGAAAACAAACAAGGTGAACTGCATGGTTTCTGCGACAGTAATGAGAAAGCTTTTCAACTTTCGTTAATCTGAGATTTTAATTCAATGAAAGATTAAAATTATTTTTCGTTATTTGCACGAAATTCGGTATCCAGGGTTTTTTTGACGTGAGAAATCATAATTTCGTATTAATTTTCATGTAACATCTAGAGGACACTGCGTACGCTGTCATTATTTATTTCAAATTGTCTCAACTTTTTTGACACTAAACTTTTGGTACTTTTCATGAAAAAACCTAATTCCCACACCTTTTCCAAGTAAAAAAGGTACACCTCCTCAACAACGCTGGAGGTGATCGTTTTCGAGATATTTACAATTTTTTATATCGATGCATATTACTCAGCTCCTAGGGCGCTNGGTACCGAATTTCGTGCAAATAACTTATTTTTTGCAAGAGTTATTTTCAAAAAGCGAACAAAAAATTCAATTTCAACACCCCGTATCTCCGAAACGAAGCATTTTCGGACACAAGTTCATATAGACTTTTTTTCTTAAAATTGTCTCAGAAATACGTGACTTGAATGAATATTTTAACGTACTTATGTTACACCCTGTATAGGTAGAATATAGAATTCGGAACCCATCCTTTACTTTCTCGGCAATGCACAATGATTAGTCGCAATCCTTTGTTTGCAGGCATGTTAGGCGTACACATTCTCGAACCATCAGTCCATCCTTTCGTAACTGTGTCCTGAGTGTCATACCAAGTTTCGTCCCAATAGAAAATTTGCTGTTGTTCTCGTCTATTCTTCTGCTTGACGTTTGTTTATTATTTGTTTCTTTATCCAATTCTGAAGAGTTTTGTCACAGCAGCTCACATTATGGCCGGAAGTATTCAATTTCTTCCTTATGATTTCAGTTGTAGAAATCTCATTGCTTTTGTAACAGTCGTATATTGTTTTTTTTTTTCAATGATTTTATTAGATGTACATCTAAAGGTTTTGGTAATCCTGTATCACATCGCGTCTTGCGTTCATAAGTTCATGTTGCTTGTAATAGTTTGTTTCCTTTGAAACCAAACTTGAGATGTAGATTCTTATATACATCGAAACATACTCTCTGTGTTTCAATATTCAAATGCAATCTTATTCACTGGTATCTCTTTTACGCATTGTTCACCATCGCTATTGGAATCACTACACTGGAAAAAGTCTGCGTTGTTATCACACTCGTTATTACTATTAGTACTAGTACATTTTGGCCTTTGAGAGTGCCGACAACTTATAAGTATGCACAATATTGGTTAGGTACTTCGACTATATAGGTGCTTCTTTGATGTACGGGTAGACTCTACTGAGGTATTCGACATCACTGGTTTGTCTTGGAAGTGAGAGTCCACTTACAGTTCGAACTTAATTCATTTCAAAGTTGCTCAGTTGCTCAAATGCTCAGTTGAAAATGTGCAATAATTACTATGCTATTAAATTCACACTGAATGGCTCCACATACAGCATAAACGCGATAAATTTGTTCAACTTTTAACAAATATACATAAGAAACAATCTACCACATTTCATTTGACTGTCAATGAAACCATCTCACAAATTACTTAGGACTCGTTGGTAAACGCTCATGAGAATACTATATGTTTTTTCTAGCCAATAACATAGTCAATTATATCTGGAATATTCTCAAGCTGCTTGCTTTCATCATTAATATCAGGAAATGAAAGAGAAAATAAAACACAATTACAGGTACATTGTGATAAAGTCCTCCGTTCCTTTTTTTGACTTAGTGAAAGGATATGTTCCTTATTGGAAATCATTGATTTCCTATTGGTGTATAGGTATAGCTATTATTGCAATTTTTATTTGTTTTTCTTGTATATAGGTACATATAAAATTCAAAATATTGAACGTATACTTGATTCAAACTCCTTTTCATGAAAACTGTAATGTTTTTTAGATCGATGAATTAAAAAAAATCCTTCCTCCTTCATTTTTCAGAATCTGTTGGATAATTTCTTCCCCTCAGACACGTTCACGCCCAAGAAAAATGTTTATGAAAGAGATACGGAATTATGTAAGTATAATTACCTATGAATCCATAAATTCATTAAAATGATTCTCTTAGGTAGATCAAACAAACAATCCTCAAATATTTGAAATATACAAGTGATACTCCTTTACTCCTGTCGTACCCTTTAACCCACCTCAGGATAATGTTATTATCTACCGAGGCCTTGGCTAAATCTTGGTGAAACTCTAGCACTAGCCCTGAGGTTATACGTTGTCTGTTCAAGGCTAATAGGGCTTGTCTGCTGTCAGTGCACATTGTTATGTTTGTGCCAGAAATTCCTTTCTTGGTTATTTCTTTTGTGGCGATTGAGATACCAGCTAGTTCTGTTTGGACCACGCTGGTATTTCTTCCCATTCCCTACTTAATCCTTAGGCTTAGTGATCTGGATGAGTACACTCCACATCCTGAGCCTTCTTTGGTTTTTGAGCCGTCTGTATAAATCCGTATTGCGTTTGTAGCATCTGACTGTGTTCTGCTTAATTTGTATTTTGTAGGGTTTATTAAACACAAACCTGAGTTCAATTGCATCACTTGTTGCCTGCAGCAGAGGTTGCGCAATAAGCGCTTCCCGCCATAGGACCAGCCTCAATTGACACATTCCTACTTCGAGGTTTACACCAGCCGTGCGCAATCGTACCATGGCCATTAACGCAACCTCCTTAACGTACAGATCCAGAGGGGTCAGACCCGTGATTAATTCCATTGCCGCGGTTGGTGTTTTTCTCATGGCTCCTGTGATGTTTGTAGCTGTATTTGATATAATTTTTTGATGGCCGTTGCTTGTAGAACTTTCGGTCCCCATGCAATGACTCCATACGTTAACATAGATCTTATTATTGCAGTGTAGACCCAGGTGACCACACGGGGTGAAAGACCCCATGAGCGTCCCACTGTCCTCCGACATTGCTCATAAGCCACGTATGCTCTGTTTGCTCTACTCTGTAGATGAGAGTTCCATGTTAGCTTCCTGTCGAGGATAGTACCAAGGTATTTCACCTCTTCAGAGAAGTTTAGTTTGCTTTTGAAGATTTCGGGAGGTTTTAAGCCCGTTAAACTTCTTTTCCTGGTGAAAAGGACCATCTCAGTCTTCTTGGGATTGATCGACAGTGAGTGTTCCTTATACCATGTTTTTATTAATTTGAGCCCATACTGTGCTCTATCGCACAGTGTGTTCACAAATTTGCCGGTCTGCAAGATAACTATGTCATCTGCGTATGCAATTGAGTATAATCCATTTTTGTTAAGGTGATTAATCAGGGTATCCAGAACTATGTTCCAGAGAAGGGGTGATAAGCCCCCTCCCTGTGGACATCCCCTCATGACCAGTCATTTCACTGTGATGTCTTCTACATTAATACTTATTGTTTTACTAGAGAGCATCTTGAGTATCCATTCTTCTACTACCAGGGGTACATTCCTGGAGTGTAGTTTCTGGGTAATTGTTGGAAGGGTTGTTTTATCAAACGCTCCCTCGATATCTATGAATATACCCAGGGTGGATTCTTTGTTGTCCAATGATATCTCGATTCTGCCATACACATGGTGAAGTGCCGAATCAGTAGACCTTCCCGGAGTATATGCATGCTGATTTGGATGAAGTGGGTTATGAACTAGTACTTCATGTCTTATGTACCGCTCACATAGCCTCTCCATGGTTTTTAAGAAAAACGATGTGAGACTAATTGGTCGGAATGCTTTTGGTAGGGTGTAGTCCATTCTACCTGGTTTGGGTATAAATACTACTCTTACTTCTCTCCACTTACTGGGAATATACCTCATTCAACCAGATGCGGCATAAGAGTGTCCAGTCCCCACTAAGTAGGGCTGGTCTTATACCGTCAGGTCCTGGTGACTTGAAGGGGGAAAAGCCCGATATAGCCCATCTTATTTTGACCTCATCAATTACTGCATTAGCAGATTGCCAGTCGTATTGTGAGGGTGTTGTTGGTACATCCGTCCAGTTCGTCCGTTCCAGGAAAGACAGAACCTGGGAAGTGAGTTTCCATAAGAATCTCAGCACTCTCCTTGTTGCGTGGCACGCCTTTGTTTTGTTTACGCATAAAACCAAATTATGTTAAGGACTGCCTGCTAGCCGAGGTATTTTGATTGCAACCCTCAAGAGCGGTGAGGTGCGGGGTGCCAGGCAAAGTGACGACCAGACAAGAGGATTTTGAGAGTTGAATCGAGTCCATCGACGAGAACGCATTGCAATTCATTGTAGCATATTTTTCTACACGTTTTATGTTGTATTAGTTCAAAATAAAGTTAATTGTCATGAGTTAGTGAATCATTTAAACGGAGTAGTTTAAGGAAACATCGAGATTAAAACACTCCTGGAGGTTGGCGGCTTTGTCGCCATTTTCCCTCGTCAGGATGTCGATGCTCTTATGGTGGTCATTTGGGAGTCTGAGAAGTATGGTGGGTGAGGCAAAATTTCGACGCTCAATTTGTTCAATTTTCGGACAGCGATTTCTGAAAGGTGCAGACGGGCGTTGTCGTGGATCAGGATTTGACATCTTCTGTTGACCAGTACCGGCTGCTGCTGACACAATTTTCGGTACATTTCGTCAATTTTCTCACAATAGGACTCTGCTGTGCAGAGTTATAGTGAATCACACCAGCCGCTGACGACCATGGTCTTGTTTTGGTGGGTATTCGCCACTGTCCTAATCGTCTCTTGTTGTCCTACAGATCCACTTTTCATCACACGTTGTGCAAAAGCAAAGAAGAACAGATCTCAAAACGTGACAATTTCTGTCGATCATTCAAATCGTGGGAGACAAACCTTACGAGCTTTCCAATACGTTCAAAAATCGCATGGGAGCTGACGCCCACTTACCGTTTGTGATGGGTCAACTACCAGTTAAAGCAATGCTCTATGCCGATGATTTGGTCTTAAATAGTTTTGAAACTATATAAGACCATTCCATTTTAAAAAATCTAATTTTGGTTATGACACGCTTTCACTGAATATCCTGTATATTTCAGAAGAGCTCTATGCATAGATATCTAAAATTTCCATAGAAAATATTTTTGATAACTTCACTCTTTCATCTCAAACTTCTATAATGGAAGCTCAACGTAACTCCCAATGTATACAGGGTGTTTCAAATTTGATCCTCACCATTGGGATCTCGGAAACTATGAGAGATACGAAGATGGTTAAATTGGGACAAAGTTGCGCATTTTCCTGACTAACAATATGCCGTTGAGAAAGTTCCGAGTATATCCGGAAAAAAACAGATATTTCGGAAAATGGTTTTTACTTTTTTCGGACTCAATAAATTGCACTTCCACATCGCCACTTTTTCCCAGCTACATAATAATGTTTTCAGGTTTGCTATCCGACGTTTCGTCTTTCGGTCACCACCATCAACTTTATTTTTTCTTATACGCGCTACATTATATTATTTCTGTTTTGAATAGAACCAAATTAAACCTTTTCAATAATGTATCATAAGTTATCATTCTTTTTCGAAAAATTGAAGATATTGAAAAAAATAATCATCATAATAGGCTTTGACTTTGATTTTCTAAATTTGACTTCAAACTTGTTACACTCATTGACATTTTGCTATTGTACAAGTCATTGAATTTTGAGCGAAAAATGGCTTTCAAGAATGAAGAAAAAAGAGGTATGATACAAATTTATTGCTAATACGATAAAAACAGTGTTAGGAAATCAAAAATGTATTTTAACTTGTATTCTGAAAAACGACAACCACATTGAACTATGTTCAAGTTATTGAATCACCGAGTTTGGTTCGTTTGAAAAGCCGAAGAAAAAATACGGAGACAGAATGGACCAGGAAACTAAAGAAAATTTGATAAATGAGGTATGTATGAGGTAAGTTTGACATTGTGTCCTTTTTAATAATTTCAGAACTTATTCAACGGCATATTGTTAGTCAGGTAAATGCGCAATTTTGCCGCATATTGTTAGTCAGGTAAATGCGCAACTTTGCCTCAATTTAAACATCGTCGTATCTCTCACAGTTTCCGAGATCCCAATGGTGAGGATCGAATTTGAAACACCCTGTATGTCGATTGTTCCACCGTTTGTTTTTCAGCTTTTAGGCATGATAACTGTACAGGATCTTGTTCAACAAGGAAAAAATTCTAACCATCACGATAACAAACAAATCTCATGTAGTTTTCATTGTCATAATTTGCTGTTAAAAATGCTTAGCTTGTAAACCTATCTGACCGTTCTCATTATTAACGTGTGCTTGCATTTCAACATTCAACATTAACCCATTGCTGGTACATAGGATACCATGTTTATATTGTGATAAAATCTACACACATTACTCATGTGGAAGGCCACAACTAGATCTTGTGTACATCTAAATATATTTAATGATATGAACTTTTTTTTTCAGCGTTCTGGGAATCTGTGATGGGGGCCTTGCGAAGCATTTTCTAGTGATTTTGTTATTCTTTCCTTTTTTTTTGTTATTCTTTCCTTTTTTTGGAATAAAAATTTAAGTTGAGTTTTCATTCATATTTAACATCAGTTCTTAGAATCGAAATTCCCCAAATTTTTTATCACTGCAGTGAATCTACTTGAAGGTAGAAATAATTGAAATTGTTTTCCATATATCAGTTGAGAAAAACAGTATTAACTACTCTTTTAAACTTGATGGACTTGTTCACCATGTTTCAACACCAAACAGCTTCAGTGACATAATTTGGTAAAATGTGTGCTGTTCATATTAATTCAAATATTATTCATTAATGTCTGATTCATACACCCAACTTTTCATCTTTGAATTTCGAAAAAGTCGTCATAATGTAAATAAATTGATGTGTTATTACACTGCCCTTTGAAATAACATATTATTGATTCACATTATACAACTTTCTCAAAGTAAAAGTTTGGTGATTGAGCCAGCCATATACCTTAAGATATTCATAATTTATCAACAAAGAATAAATGTCAAAAGTATTGAAAAAAAACATGTTGCTAGGAAACCAATCAATAGAAAATCAAATATCTGTCAATTTAATATTTTTTTATTAAAACAAAAATACAAAATTAGGAGTACAGTCTTTCAGGATTGTACAAAACAATCAAATATAATTCCATCATACATACACACAGACACTCAAAAAAAAAATTTTATAATTACAATTCGTCATGTTCATCATCTTTCGCATCTGCATCAAGATTCTCTTCCTCTGGAATCCCATCTTCAGGAATATCTTCCTCCTCCTCCACCTGCTCATTGATGGGTATACCCAGCGATTTCCTCATCATAGTTTCAATGGAATGTGCAAAATCTGCAGTTTCTCTTAGCATATATCCAGATCTCAAGGTGGCTGTTTGGAACATCACCTTAGCCATATTTTTTGCAATGGGATCACTAGGATCATCGTTTACCCTTTTGAGCAGCTCCTTCATCAATGGGTGACGCGGATTGATTTCTAATGTCTTCTTCTGACTTAAGTAGTAAGTGCGTTGGGGATCATCTGATTTTTGGTGGGCGTTGGATACGGCCAATCTTTCCATGTTACCAGTCCATCCATATCTGCTGGCAACTAGAGCACATGGAGATTCGCTCAACCTTGAAAAATTTTATTTTGAAATATTTCAATCGCAATATTCAATTACAAACATTCAACCACTTTTTAATGCAATTATCATGATAAGATTAGTAGTAACTTATTTTAAAAATGAAAATTCACCGAAAATTCATTTAGATTTACTCACAGAAAAAGGCGACACCCATGATTTATGTAGAAATAATGATAGGTGGTTTATAAGTTTCCAAATTTGATTTGCTTTTCAAGATTTACAAATTAAAACTCTATGAATATATTTTCAATTCAAAATACTGAAATTTTTAGCATGCAAAAAACCTGGGGAATGTTAGGTTAGTTTATAGGTTAGATTTAGTTTCAATAAAAATTCGACTAGCAATTTTTTTTTTTTAGTTTTGTTGCATTCACTGCACTTCACTGTTGAGGTTAGGTTATAGATGAAGTTTGGTTAAGGCGTGTGTTGCAACAGTTACTGGAAATTTAGTTTTTTGTTCTGGGGAATGTTAGGTTAGTTTATAGGTTAGATTTAGTTTCAATAAAAATTCTACTAGCAATTTTTTTTTTTTAGTTTTAGTTGCATTCACTGCACTTCACTGTTGAGGTTAGGTTATAGATGAAGTTTGGTTAAGGCGTGTGTTGCAACAGTTACTGGAAATTTAGTTTTTTGTTTTGAAAATCACCAATAATGCAGTATTACTGAAAAACCATACGTAGAACCCAATTTCCTGAAAACTGGGCACTCAAATATCAGAATATCACAAAATTATTTTGTCGTTGCAATATTGATAGTGATACATCACTTCAAACAGTGCTCTTTTCTCTCATTTTCATAACTATACAATTATTTTTGACACAAACAATATTACAATACTGAAGCATTCATTTTGTTGTACAAGAGTCATTTCAAGGTTACTTATCAAGTGACCATTTTTCAGGTATCTCACCCACACTGACAAGAACCAAAAACCGCTGTTAGTTCTGGTATTGGCTAGAAAGTGGTTTTTGAAATACATCTCACAAATACTTTAATTAGACTAAAACTAGTACAATTGGAGACAACAAAATACGTCTATCATTTTGGGTGACATCTTCAGTGGTATGTGTTAATTTGGAGATCCTACCTTCGTCATCACAGTCTATGAATAGACCACTAAAGTGTGTGAAAGCCTATTATATCCTTAATCAGGGAACAAAAAGATAGGCATTTGAGGTTGAAATCTGATATGAGATATTTTAAACATTCAAATGGTCAATGAAATCACGTTAACCCCTTCAAAACGCTAAAAGTGGAAAATTTTGTACAATTTGAAGAAAATGTTCATTCTACAATTTACTTCATGTGGTATACAATTGCAGAAGTAAATCTAGATGTGTTTATAGTCTCATATTTTATACTATTGACTGAAATTGCAAGTGCAGAGAAAGTGCAAGTGCAAGAAAGTAGGCAGAATATGAAAAAATTGTCAATGTTAGTGATATTTCAAGTTTTTCATTGATTTCTAGTAAATTTGCAACAACACACAAGAATTAAAAAAAAAATAGCATGTCCGGCTTTGACCCAATATCCATTTTGGCAAAATACTTCTTATGCAAGCAGTATGTGATATATATTTCTCTACTAGAAACATTATCTTTCCTATCAGTTCTGACAACTCTCATGTAAACTCACATAGCTATTATTATAATGAAACTTTCAATCTTCAAATTTACTAGTATGGCAGTTTTATATTGAGTAAAGTTTCATTTAAACTGTTATTTCACCATTATTATTTTTACCTTTCAGAAACTACTGCTTTGGCAATCTGGTCCTTCAGAGCATCATCATGCAACCATTTATTTAGAGGTTCGAAAGTAGACTTCAGTTGCTCCAAATTCTCCTTGTCTCCCTCAATCTCAGATAAACTGAAACCTTCTTTGGCCACATTCTGGAATTTTTTTCCTTCAAATTCAGGAATAGCTGAAATGGCATATTCATCAACAGCTTCGGTTAGATAGAGCACTTCATATCCTTTACGGAGTAATCTTTCAATGAATGGTGACTTCTCCACCTCTTCCTTTGAAGCCCCAGCAATGTAGAATATAGTATCTTGTTTCGGCTTCATTCTGCTGACATACTCTGCAAGGCCAGTCAACTGACCTCCGGTAGATGAGATGAATCTCAACAGTTTAGCCAGTCTAGTTCGATTAGCAGGATCTTCAATAGTTCCCAGCTTGATGTTGGTGGAAAACTCTTTCCAGAACTTCTCATATTCCTCTTCAGGTAGTTTCTTGAGCATGTCCAGAACTTTTCTTACTAGTTTCTTTTTGATAACCTTAATCAGTTTGTGCTGTTGAAGAGTTTCACGAGAAACATTCAGAGGTAAATCGTCTGAATCAACAATTCCTCTAATGAAATTCAGGTACGAAGGCATCATGTCATTGAACTCATCAGTAATGAATACTCTACGAACATATAGCTTAATGTTGTCAGTTTTTGTTCCATACCTGGAAAAAAAAAATGTTTTATTGTCAAACATTAACTAACTTTAATCTTGAGATTCACTTATATTATTACTTACCTATTGAAACTTTCTGAAGGCTGAACTGTAGGGACAAACAATAGTGCTTTGAAGGTGACTTCACCTTCTGCAACAAAATGAATTTTAGTCAAAGGTTCCTTGGTGTCTTTAGTTAGAGCCCTGTAAAACTCATCATACTCCTTATCATCTACTTCAGAGGGTTTTCTTGTCCACAATGGTTTGCTGTCATTGAGCAATTCCCAATCCCAAACGGTCTTTTCTACCTTCTTGGTCTTTGGTTTCTCTTCTTCCTTTTCTTCTTCAACTGCTGCATCTTCCTCATCAGAAGGCCCTGGCTTGTCTTCGACATCTTCATCTAAAGGTTCTTCAGATGTTTCAGTGTGACTGGTCCACAAATAGATAGGAAAATTGATAAATTGCGAATATTTCTTAACCAAATTACGAATGGTTTCATGTTCTAGGAAGTCTTTAGCTTCCGGCTTTAGTTCTAGGCTGATAGTAGTACCTCTTTTCAGGGAGTCTCCTCTTGGATCTTCAATAATACTAAAACTTGCAGAATCAGATTCCCAAATGTACTGCTTATCATCATTATGTTTAGAAGTGACAGTAACTCTATCGGCAACCAAGAAAGCAGAGTAGAATCCAACACCAAACTGTCCAATCATATCATTCATATCCTGACTGGTTTCAGAGGTTTGCATTTTAGCCAGAAATTCGGCGGTTCCAGATTTTGCTATAGTACCAAGATTGTTTATCAGATCTTCCTTTGTCATTCCTATGCCAGTGTCAGTTATATGTAGCATTCCTGACTCTTTATCTGCTTTTATTCTTATGTTCATTTCAGGCTGAGAATTGAGAACCTCTTTGTCAGTAAGTGAAAGCATTCGTATTTTATCCAGTGCATCAGAGGCATTTGAGATCAATTCCCTCAAAAATATCTGAAACGAAGGTATTCAATGTTGAGATTATTTTTTTAAAGCATTGTTAAACGAATCATACATACCTCTTTATTTCTATAAAGGGAATTAATAATGAGTTTCATCATTCTGTTTACTTCCGTTTGGAAAGCAAACTTTTCCGATTTTTCTCTAAGCTCTCGGAGCTGTGCTACGTTGAGGCCATCCAATTTGATTGCTTCTTCTTCCCTTTTGACAACTTCATCATCTGTAAATATATTTTTAGTTGGTATAAATATCCCAAAAAATGTACCCATGTTTGATGATAATGGAACATAGAATTAAAATGTCTTACGAAAATCAAGTAGTTTTCATAAAAGAGCTCTAAAACAACGCATTTTAAACTTATCATTTCAACCTTTTTCTTTAAAAAATTATTTAAATACTTAAAAAAGAGGATTGAAATAATGCATTCATCATTTGAAGGGATTCGTTTCTATTTCACCATTTGGCAACATCGGTTATAGCTAATAAAGATCAATGAATCTGTTACCTGTACGAGACAAAGATGACATATTTCAGAGGCGTGCTGTTCTGTTCACTTATGTTCCGAGTTCCGAGACATTCTGTTACATATGACATTTTGTGCACCTAACCTATCTTCCTCTATATAAATAAATAACAAAACAACTGTTGTTTATGTGGCTTGTGGAGGTGGTATTGAACTATAATTTATATTTTGCCTTAATTGTTGATTTATAAAGATAATTTTCCTTTTTTAAAGTAGAATAAAATAGAATAAAGTAGGTACGTATAAATTATTTCAACTTGATATAGGCGATGTTGAAATATGTGAATTAGAAACAAATCCCTTTAAAAATTAAAACCCAACATTTGAAACATCAATTTGAATACTTTTCAAAGTGAATTTGAAAAACTCATGAATTAAACTCAACTTTATTTTGTTCAAACTTGCATTTGCTGTAATAATCCAAATTGAGGAACATTCCCCATTGCATTAGATTAATTTGAATTGAAGGAGTTATATTTTTAGGAGTGATTAATTTTTGATAAGTGTTCCATGTAAGTGCAATTTGTTACCATTCATTTAAAAGTAAAACTCCTGTGAATTTAATCTGATTTTATTCCACAACAAACTGAGAAGAGAAAAGTATCTTTCGTGTAATTCAATGTTTATATGAAAGTAGCTGTTTCAGGAGGGCTTTCTTCCAGTTTGTGTCTGAAAGTTACTTCTTTGCATGATCTACACATCCATGTATAAAATTACTTATTAGATTAGTTTACAACAATCCAAAATATGAGCAACAAAGGTTAAAAATCACATGTGGTGGAACAACAGATAAATCTGATATTAAAATAGACAATATTGCTTTTCCCTAAAACAGAAAACCCAATTTTATTTGTACTCTTTATGAATGATATTTTGGAAAGATTGCTGTATTCTGTTGATAACCTGTTAGTTGATTGTTTTAAATTTTCCGAAGTAACATAACAAGTAAATTCTTTTATAAATGACGAAAATAATCTGCGATATTCAAATATCCAAAAAATTAGGATTATTTTGTTTCCTTCCTTCCTCGTTTCCTTCCTTGACAAAAAAATTGATGCACTACATACTGTTTAGTTACTCTGCAACTACATAAATGAAAGTAGAAAAAAATTCAAAAATTCTGAGAGCATAAATGAACACTTACATATTGAATAAAATAGCTTATACTTTTGAAAATAATGATGAAACATTAAAAATGATGTATTTTGCAAATTCTGAAGCACCACTAAAGTTTGGGATCATGTTTTGTGGTCCAAACAGTAATACAAGCAACTTCATTCAGAAAAGCACAATAAGATGTTTATTTAAAATGAAATATCGAGAGGCACGTAGAATTTTCATAAACTTAATGGGCAATGTAATTGAACAGATTTCAAAAAAGCAACTGTCATGATGTGTCATGAAATATATACCTATATATTCAAATAGTTCAGTAGTATGAAATACCAATATTTTAATTTAGGCATAAATATATGGCCGTTGAATAACTGTGATGAATAATTCTAATCATTCATCCCTGAAAGAATAAATATGGCCAAACTATATCAGACTGAGAAGGTAAATTTGATATTTAGAATATTCTATCAGCTATGAAATCTAACTTTGAAGAGAACATAAAAGTCTGTATAGAAGTAAAGGTTATAATTACTGAAAACTTGTATTGATCAAACACAAGCACAGAAAACATGGATGAAAGGAAAGTTATTGCTGAAGAACCCAAGAAAAGACAAAAACCATTCAAACTGTGTTTTGTCAATAGAAATGTTCCTGGAATGTCAAATATACGCATTGGAAAGCCTTTGAATATACGTAAGACTTTTGATTATTTATTCTTTGCACAAATGCATTTGTATTGTTTTCAGCAGAAATCATCACAGATAAATTTTACAATAATAATTTAACACTAAAAGAAAAAAATAATATATTTGAGAAGTACCTTGATAAGCTCAAAGTTCTTGCACCATGTGAGAGGAGTGGTCAACCAATTACGGAAAATCAAGAGTAAATTTATGAAAGTAGGTAATATGGATAAAATATTAGATCAAAGCATATTGTTTTTTAGATATGGGTGGTATCAAATGTCACTAACAGACATGGATAGATCAGACAGACGATTGTATTTCCATAAGAGAAAAAACATTATTATTGAAGAACACCTTATGAACTATGCAAAGATTAGATAATGAATAATATTACCAGTTCTTGATCCTTCTCGGCTTGCTCCTAGATCAAGTTCAACTTCTTCAACACTTCCTTCTCCAAGATCTTCAGCTTTTGTAGTAGTACATCCTACAAAAATGTACAATGTTTTTTTAAGTTTTCAGAACATTTTTTTCGAACTTACCTATGAGGACAAAAAATGAAATAATTAAGAAGAATAGCTGCTTCATTTCAACTACTTTATTTTTAGGATTTCAAACGCATGTAAAAGACTATCGAAGCCGGTAAACTTCAAGATTTTTCCACTACGTTTACAGTACAACTCGCAACTCGCAGATCTTGACAACTTCGATTGTCAAAATTGAAAGGTTCATTCTATGTATGGACATTTTCGACCAATCATATTGAACCACGCCGCAAAAATTTAATTGATGCATTGGGGGTCTGTACGGTACAGCCAATAACGTTTCGTTATGTCATCTTCTATCCAAATGGCTACACGAGATTGGTGAGAGATAGAAAAGATTTTTGGGGGAAAATTTGATATAGCATCTTTTGTGGATTCACATACTTGAATTATTTTAAAGAGATTGAAAATTGTGACCCAACTGAAATTATATATTATTATAGTGAACATTATTATTTCATTTCTGTTGTTTTTGTGATAATTTGTATATTTTCTTTCAATTTTACTGCCTTAGATCACTTATGAATTCTTCTACTTACTTTTTATTTTGATTTATTCATTCATTCAAAGAGGGCCTTCAACTTATTCATCCTAGATAATTACAATTATTTTAGTATAATATTTACAGATTGATGATTTCAGTAAAGCAACTCAGTTCACTCAATGCCTGTCTTTAGAAGCTATATGACTCTACCAAGATGCATAGAAACCCTGCAATTTCAACCAATTCGTTTTTATTTTGGCAATAACTCTCAACACGACAAATGAGATTGACTCAACCTCGTACACATGTTGATAGATGGTACAAGAATCGAAATCTGTCGCGCGTATTTCATTCGGTTCTTAAATTTATGGACCACAATATAAAAACAATCTTTCAACTAATATCAATTCATTCTCAAATGTAAACAACATTGAAAATTGAAGTGCCAACTTGATATAGTCAAGTAGTAACACTTGAAGTGTATTCAGCACCCTTGTGAATGAAATGCTGAATTTTATTGTATCTCGTCATTCAAGAGGGCTAAACTTTTTAACGTTTTAGACTTCTTCCTCTTTATTAGGTATTTTTTTATTAAGAATGCCGTAGGTTCAGAGTTAGTTTTTGAATAAATATTTTTTTCTATGCATCTTACAGTATACAATATTTTTATAACGTAACGGTATCTATAACCTAGAGATTCTTTCTTTTGGAGGGTTTTCAGATACCAAATGGGTTTTATTCACAAATATTTTTTTCACGTGAAAAAAGAACATGATTCGTAAACAAAAGGTATTATTTGCAAGTAATCAAACTGAGAAAATTTAGGATAGGATCATGGATAAGGCAATGCGACAAGAGATTACTAGATCTGGAATAATAATAACCTGTCAACGACGTCAGAAGTTCTGACATTGCCTGTATGCTCGATAGGTGTCTACTCAGATGCAAATTCAAAAAACATTTTAAGAGTTTCCAATACTTGATAAGAAGCCACGTGAAAATCTTTCAAAAGATCAAAAAGTCACATAAAAAACTCAGCTTGTCTGTTCTGTGATATTTTTGTCAACTGTCAATTTACCATTTGTTTACCGGCGATTAGCGTTAAAAATAGAAGAATGGTTATATACATTTTGAAAATTGATCAAACAAATCCAGTGTAATATCATTATTGATAGATATATTGTCACATTGTGTAAGTAGTAAAACTGCCACTCTTATAATAATAGTTTTGAATAGCCATATTACAATCTCGAATATTTAATTTTCAGGTTAATAGTACCAGTGAAAAATATTATTTTTTCAAAATGAAGGTGGAAGAAGTTAAAAGTACAGTTAAAACCCAGAGAATTAGTGCTCACAGTCATATAAAGGGTTTAGGATTGGATGAATCAGGATTTGCCATACAATCAGCAGCAGGTTTGGTCGGCCAAGAACAAGCAAGAGAGGTTAGGATTACGGTTTTTTTTTCAAAGGTTTTTCATTTCTTGTATTTTATTGTAGGCAGCAGGAGTAGTAGTGGACATGATAAAAAGTAAAAAAATGGCTGGTAGAGCAGTGCTCCTAGCCGGACCACCAGGAACAGGCAAAACTGCTATAGCTTTGGCCATTGCACAGGAACTTGGAAATAAAGTTCCTTTCTGTCCAATGGTAGGTTCTGAAGTTTACAGTTCAGAAATTAAGAAAACCGAAGTCCTTATGGAAAACTTCAGGAGAGCGATTGGGTTACGGATTAGAGAAACTAAAGAGGTTTATGAAGGAGAAGTTAGCGAGCTAACACCAGTTGAAACAGAAAATCCTTCAGGAGGTAAAATATATTTTTTGTAAAATAAATAATTTGAGAAATTGTTTTGGTTGATGGTGTAGCAGTATGGAATAATTTCAAAATTCAGTATATTGTTACAAGCCTGGATTTCAAATAGAAAACTCAAGACATACGAATGTTTCCCCCCGCCCATTCAATGGATTTTTTCAGTTATAAAATCAAATAATTGTATGGTGATACTTTGAATACAAAGTTGGATACAAAATTCGAAAATGTCATAAAAATTAATTATTTTTTCGGGATTCATTTTTGGCAATAAGATCTCTTAAAAAGAGACTTTATTTTCATGATGGATGATAATTTAATATAATTAGAATCAGAGACATATATAATATTTTATAAGGGCTAGGAACATGAGAAAAGATTGTGATTTAGATAGCAAGGAATGCACATTCCAATAGATGGAATATGTAAGAAAATCTAAAGTGAGTGGATCTCTTCAACCCTCCACTGCAATTTGAGAGGGTTCTTTGTGGCTTTAGATGGAATATACTAATTCTAATTTTTTTTCTGAAGTTATTTAAGAAGATAACAAAAAACTATAATTGTCCCTGTTCAAGCTGTGCCAGATTTTTATACAGATTTTTAATCTGAAGTTTCTTTGAGAAAACCATCACAAAACTTTATAATCACCTGATCTAAGTTAACCTAACATGATGCTACATGTTCATTCAAAGAGTAAATTTCAAAATGTCATACTGTTTTTTATTTTCCCATGCTGGTCCTCCTCATTTTGGACAAATATGTACGAATTTAACATTGTTGTATCTTTCATTTGTATGTGAATAATTGAAACTTTTCGTAAAGCTGAGTGAAAATGTGGTAGCTCCTTCGAAAATGTTCATAGAAATTTTATTTGTGATATTTTGATTCTGCATCAGGTCAAAAAAATTTTCAAACAGGTGATACATATTAATTTTATCATGGCTGTTTTTTGGGATTTTATGTGAATATCATTTGAAATAATAATTACAGAGGATGTCAAAAATTTATAATTTCCACTTTAATTTTAAACGTTCGTGAATCATGGAATATTTTGCATTTAGCATGTAAAGCTTTCAATTGTCTGCCCTTTAAAGAAAAAAATGATACTGTATATATACACTGGATATGAAAGAATGAGAGAATACAGTTGACAAGTGAGAAATCTGTTCATATTTTTCAGTATTTTTCAAAAAGACTTGTTCCATATATTTAAAAAATCATTTTCAGAATTTTAAATATTCATTGTAAGTTTTACCATCTTAGGTTATGGCAAAACCGTCAGTCATGTCATTATTGGGTTGAGAACAGCCAAAGGTAGTAAACAATTGAAACTTGATCCTAGCATTTATGAGGCACTTCAAAAAGAGAAAGTAGAAGTTGGAGATGTTATCTATATTGAAGCCACAAGTGGAGCTGTTAAAAGACAAGGAAGATCTGATGCATTTGCTACTGAATTTGATCTGGAAGCTGAAGAGTATGTCCCCCTTCCGAAGGGAGATGTACATAAAAAAAAGGAAGTCGTGCAGGTACATATTCTACTCAATCATGCTATCCACATGTCATATTTGTTCTGGTTTCTAAATCCCCGGCAGTCCAAGTCAGTAAGGAATGATTTGTTGAACCAGAACAAAAATAATTGATTGTTTTTCCACTTACAGAACAAAGTTGGTCAGAGAATAACGAATTTACCAAATTGGTTAAATTAAGAGAAACATTTTGATTGTGATTCAACACTTGGCAATTTTTTTTCCTTTTGAGAGTTGGCTTCGAAGTAATTTCATTTGCCATACATTTCATTAGTTTTTCATGTAAAGAGTTATATATCTTTACACAATTCTTCAAGAAATACATTTTACATTAGTGAGTCTTTTGAACATGTCATAAATTATCTGTATTTCTACTGGAATTCGTACTGCATATTTCAACATGTCCTAACTAACCTAGACATAATTCAAAATGTATGCCTATTACTGCTCAGAAATTTTTTAATGATTAACATTTATAGGATGTCACCTTGCATGATTTGGATGCAGCCAATGCCAAGCCACAAGGAGGTCAAGATGTATTATCAATGATGGGTCAACTCCTCAAACCCAAGAAAACTGAAATCACTGATAAGTTGAGGAAGGAAATTAACAAAATTGTTAACAAATATATTGATCAAGGCATTGCTGAATTAGTCCCTGGTGTTTTATTCATTGATGAAGTTCACATGCTTGACATAGAAACTTTCACTTATCTTCATCGAGCTTTGGAAAGTGCAATAGCTCCTATTGTCATATTTGCTACTAATAGGGGACGATGTTTGATAAGAGGAACAGATGATATTTACTCTCCTCATGGTATACCTCTGGACTTACTTGATAGGTAAAGATATATTTTTTTGCTTCCCATCATCATACAAATATAATATAAAATATATTATATTATATTCTTAGTTAACGGCAAATAAATATAATGTTCTCACGAAAGGATAAGTCTGTGCGTAGGTTATGTCATATTAATATACCATAGATTACCAAACTCTATTAGATCTTTAATTTTCTTTAAATACATTTGGAAAATCACTGTCAACTTATATACATATGCATAACAGGGAATAGTTATGTAGTTCGTAGGACTATGTAATTTTGTGTAGCTGGTATTTAGTATATATTTGTTATTCAATAGTTGTACCCTAAAATATCTATTGTACTATGTTTAAAATTGTAAAGAAGTGAACCCGCTCAATGAAATGAATAAATACATTTCTAATCACATGTACATTGCTCCATTGGCAGTGGTAAGTTTATGAACACAACCCTAACAGTTGGTTCTTGCCCTTTCAAAAACAACCAACTGTGAATTAGTTAGGAAAATTGTGAAATTATATGTGTATGTATATATGTTTAAAATATGTTTTTCCGTTAACCAGCTGTCGCATCTTTTACCGTGTGATTCCTAACACAGGTTGAATGATAGCAAGTGAAAATCGATCGTTTAGCCTTCGGCTGGAACCACCCACCAACACGGCAGTCGATTGAGTGAATGAACAAAGCACCCACGTCAAACTGACCGGCTACCGACTGGAAATTCATAAATAATATAGGACTATTCGTCTTTGATTGATCATAGAAAGTGGTTTCAAATATTTATTAATAATGTTTGGGAATATTAGGACCTTCAAATATGATGTTAAGGATAACTCATAAACAATGACTGAGTTTGAGAGATTTTTTGTCAGCCCAAAGACAGCGTACTTGTAAACTTTTTTATACCAATATGTGTTTGTATTCATATATATACAGTTTATATACCTTTTTTTACTTCAAGGAAGTTTTATCTATAAAGAAATATCAATTACCTCTTTCAGGTTACTTATCATAAGAACCATCCCTTATGGAAGAGGAGACATGGAACAGATTCTCAAGCTGAGAGCTAACACAGAAGGATTAGAAATTGAACCGGAAGCTATTTCTGCTCTGGGAGAGATTGGAACAAATGCCACCTTACGTTATGCAGTGCAGCTTTTGACTCCTGCATTTTTAACAGCTAAAATAAATGGACGGAGTCACATAACTCAAAATGATGTTGCTGAAATAGGATCCTTGTTTTTGGATGCCAAATCGTCTGCCAAAATTTTGACAGATAATAAGGAAAAGTTCATGACTTGAGCTTAGTCCTGAATGATAATTTTAGTACTTATTTTGTTGGCATTTGCCATTTTTTGATTGTTCATGTTTGATATTTCAATTGTTTCACGAATTTATATGAGTGTTTTTGAAATATATTGAATGCACACACTTTTTTGTAATAATTTTATTGTAAGTAAATCAATCAGTACTCAAAGAAAAAACAAATTTGGCAAATTCCCCATTCGAAACTTTTCTGAATGTTATATGTCCTCTTAACAGAAATCCAAGAAAAATATATATACAAAACATTTTTATTGAAAACTTTTTGAAAAACTCTAAGATTAGGTCCAAAGTGAGTGGGTTTATTCGACCCTGCACCGCAACCCTCAAGGGTTCATTGTGGCTCATACATATTTACACTCGACCAAATAAACCCAGCTTCTTAACGAAGACGATTAGCTTGTATGGTGAGTGGTCTTTTAGGTCAGATGGTAAGAGTACGGCTCTGCCGAACTCTAAACAGCAGGACAGGCACAAAGTATGTGCTCTGCTGTTTCATTTTCCAAACAGAGGCGATACACACTGTCTTCCGACAATATGGTGATTCAAATGACAGTAACCTGTAAGAAGGCCTGTTAGACATCATAGTTCATCCCAACTGTAGTCCAACAAATGTTTGGTATCAAGCTTCGATTGGAGTGAGCCAATTCTAGAAGATTCAGCCAGAAGTCCATAAATCTTCCTGCCATCCAGGTGTTCAATATTTGTTTGGCAAAGCCTAAAGCGATGCCAACGACAGGTTCTGGTCCGATGAAGCTGCTTGCAGCACCCTCCTTTGCAAAGGAATCAGCAGCCGCATTGCCTTCTAGGCCAGTATGGCCAATTTAGATGTTGCTCGGTAGGAGCCAAGAGCTTCCAACGCCGCTTGACTGTCAAAGAATATTTTTATTGACTTGTGTATGAAGTTTGATTCTTCCAATCTCTCCGCACACAATTCAATAGGGTAAATACCCGCTTGAAATACAGGCAGGTTGATATCTCTGTCCTGGGTCTGCGACTGCACCAGAACTGGAAGGTGTTTTTCATCCATCTGTGAACCAACAACTATCTGCTCTTAATATTTCCTTCTCCCCTACGATCCAGTCCTCTCTACTCGGGAACAATACTTTATACGGCACTTCATAGTTGACAATTGGAGGCATAAAGTCAGAGGTCATTTCCAGAATGCTGTGACTTCCAATGTCAACCAACAGTCTGTTGCACTATGCATTAAATTGATTTGTACAATTGGCAATGTGCACAAGTCTATATGCAGTCCATCTAGCCTCTCTCCAGAAAGATATGGAGAGGAGGTAGATCTAGAAGGATCTTTATGGCCGCTGACGGTATGGTACTGATGCCACCACCGATGGCCAGACAAGCCTGTCTCTGTAAGCCAGAGAGCTTCGCCTGGGCCGTTTTCTGTAAAGCCTTCGGTCACCAGGCAATTGCACCATGAGTGATCATTGGTTTAACATTCATCACATAAATCCAATGGATTTGTTTGGGACCTAAACCTCAAGTTTTACCACAAATCCTTCGACATGTCCAAATGGACAGTGGCTTTGTGTAAAACTTTTTCCAAGTGAGCGTACCAGGTGAGTTTTTTTATCAAGGACAATGCCAAGATATTTCACCGTTCCAAATGGAATGACCTCACCATTGAGGGAAAGTGGCGATAGATCGTCCAATTTTCTTCTCCTGGTGAAGGGGATTGTCACACTTTTGCTGGGGTTGACAGACATTTGCCCCCTCAGGCACCAACTCTGAACCACGTCTATAGTGCTTTGGAGGATATTATAAGCTATCCTTTCCGACGTGGACCTTGCCAAGATGACAAGGTCATCTGCATAAGCTTGCAGATCTACTTTTCTTCTCTTGAGGACATCAAGCAGACTGTCCATTTGAGTTTTATTTGAGGGCAGCCTCTGGTGACCCTGAACCTAATAGCCTCGCCTTGAAGAGTCGTAGTTGCAGTTCTGTTTACCAGCATGGCATAGATCCAGCCATTTATGGTTGATCTATACCTTTCCTAGCCAGAGACGATCCTATAGATTTAGGTAGTGCATTATCAATCAATATTGAGAAATACAGCAATCGCAATCTCTTTGTTGTCAAGGTATTGGGAGATTAATGCTAAATATACCGGTTTGATAAGCATACTAGTGTTTATTCAGGGGGAATCATATAATTCCACCCTCCTGATGTGTCCAGTATCCTCTCAAGTCCTTTCAACAGGAATGATGTAAGGTTGATTAGTCATACCGATTTAGGGAGTCGGTCTTATGAAAAACTTAAATGAAAATTTACTTATTTGTGTTTTTTTGTTATTGATCAAGTTCAACATGCTATTGTAGCAAGTTTGAATTTGGACCACAATATTTTACTAATAACAAACAGCAAAATCCACCAAAAAGTTGAAAAAAAATTGATTGGCGAAAACAAACATTCAAAAGTTGCAATTTTTTGTAAAAAAAGGCAAAAACTGTGCTGCAGATATATAAGCAAGATGAAGAAAAAATGTATTTGGAATCATTAAAAAATGGTATATTCAAAAAGTGACACTGAAAAGTCAACTAAAATTGATCCTTTTTCATTTGTGGTCAAGATAGTAGGTCCAAAATGAGTTAGTCTATTCGACTCTCCAGTGTAACCCTCGGGGATTTATTCAAATTCGACCAAATAAATCCAGTTCCTTAATGAAGCCGATTACTTGTTTTGTGTATCGCAGGTGGGACTCACGTTTTGGTAGCAAAACACCCTTATGCGATTCATTTACTCAACATGACAGTGTAATCATCGAATTTTGAAGTATTATTAATGTTACTTAATCCTTCAGAATTTAGTTGATCTTTTTACACAAGATCTCCTTCAAGTAGTATATTTTGGATAGTTCTCATTTAAAAAGGATATTCGTCTTTTTGATGTTGTGTTGATAAATTTTCATCTTGCACCAATTCTTTCATCAGATCAGTGTTGAGTTTTTCTGGACTGTTCCGGCATTATTTGCGCACACATTGAAACGAGAACAAACAGAACATAAGGAATCTGCAGAACCGTACAGAAAAATAATTATTCTATCAGGAGTATCTGTTTAGTTTTTTGGAAATTACAATTTCAGTAAATCATAGTTTTATTCATTTAAAGTTTTCAGATATTGCCATTGTTTTTCACTGAAAGAACCAACTTCCACTCAGTGCTCTTCTTCCATACAATGTACAGTAACATTCCAAATATTTTATCAGTTTGATGAACAAAAATATTTCAACTGAAGGTCCAAGTGTTACTCAGTACTCGGAAACTGCCGATAGGAGTTCCTTGGATGATTTGGTATGTCTGACCAAAATCTCTTCACCACTGCTGTCTTCCTCAATTTCGACACAGACACCAGCTACTTTGAGCTCTGGATCTCCTCGAAAAGTGAAGTTGAGGAGGAAAATCAAGTCTTTGAGAAAGGTAAAAAAAAACACCACGTTTGAAGAAACAGAAGTTATGCCTGGAGGACTTTAACTATCTCTGTGATAAATTTCTGAACTAGCCGCTGGCAGATATTGTCAAAGCACAGGCAATATTGAAAGACAGAAAACCAAATCAACCAACATTCAAATCATATGAATTGTGTAGACGATCATGATAAACTGTTGATCAATTTGAAAGTAACAGATGTAATTGTGTGATTAATAAAATTGTTATTTTCGGTTAATCTTTTTAATTTTTTCAGGGATTTCAAATCAATTAATATTATATTAGACAATGTAAATCCGAACTGATGAAATACACCACGAAACATTGTCAAGCACCTTCAAACAAAGATATAATTCTTCCTAAGAGAGATAATGAACATTTTTCCAAAGCAATATCACTTTAAAATTACTACTGTAATTAATCTGAAGCCGGCCCTGACCGATATCTCAATCAGCAAACGCATGACTCATCGCGAAAGGTGTAGATAAGTCCCGAAATCCCTAGCGAGATCCGAAGCGATCGTTGCCGATATAAAAAGTCTTTCGGACTCCATTAAATAAGTGGACATAGTCAGTTTTGAGTAAAATAGACAGTAAGAGATAAAATGTGTTCAAGAAAATTGCGCCACATGACTTGAAAGTCGCTGAATTGAAGCAAGAATTGGAGGAGAGAGAACTAGATTCTTCCGGAAAGAAATCAGGAGAAGATCCCGAAACATATTTATTCGAAGTTTCTGGGGGTAATTTGAGTTTAATAATGAGCAAACTCGATGGGCTTCAACAAAATTCGGTAAGCCTTGAAGAGAAACTTCTGGAAAATTCGATGAGTTTGAAAGATGAACTTCAACAAAATTCGAAGTGCCTGGAGGAGAAGCTTCTGGAAAACTGGAAGAGTTTGGAAGACAAGCTTCTGGAAACTCGAAAAGTTTGGAAGATAAATTTCTAGAGAATTTGAAAAGCTTGAAGGAAGACCTTCTTGAGAATGCAGAAGGCTTGAAGAAATAGCTTTGTAGTGTGGCGAGCCTACTCGAAGAAAAGATAGGAACAATCGAGACAGAGATAGATAAAATCAGGAAGGAAATGAACACAGAAGTAGAGGAAATCAAAGGCGGAGTTCAGGCAGAAATCAGCGAGATAAAGGAAACAATTAGCAAGTTGCTAAACCAAATCGTTAATTCTGCCCACACCACAGAAACGGTTACTAAAAACTCAATTCCGGAACTGAAAGATGTCAAACTCAGTTCTGAACCAGGAAAGCTCTCCATGAAGCCACCCCAGTTCGACGGAAAAACTCCTTGGGCAAATTATCGCCGACAATTTGAAGCTACGGCCAGAGCGAATGGATGGAATGCAGGAGAAAAGGCGATAGCATTAACATTGGCGTTGCGTGGAGAAGCAACGAATATTCTCCAAACCCTCATGGCCCAAGAACAGGAAGACTATGACCAACTCATAAAGCATCTTGAGCTGCGGTATGGACAGGCCCACCTAGAGCACGTTTACCATTCACAGCTGAAGAACCGCTGCCAGAAATCAGGAGAATCCCTACAGGAGTTTGAAGCCGACATAGCTCGATTGGTCCGTCTAGCATATCCTGCTACACCCGAAAATGTAATGGAGCGGTTAGCAGTTCAGGCATTCTTAGATGGACTTCGCGACCAAGAAACG